GCTTGGATGATTGGAATTTATCTCAGGTAAAAACACATAAGCATTCTTTTATTTCCAAAAGTGAGGGGATAAACAATAATTGTTGCTCCATGGTTTCTCAAAAAGATTGCAAAAATCTTTTTGTGTTCAGGTGGAGAAGCCGCTGAGATACGAACCTTGTATTAATTGGAAAAGCGGTAAGAATAGCGATAAGAGCAGTGGTGAGGGTTTAATACTATTGGGGCCTCAAGGTTTTGCAATTTTTCAAGCAAAATTTGTTGCATTCGCAACTAGTATACATACGCGTTACTTGATGCATTGTGTAAATTTCCATTAGATACAATACTCAAAGTCCTTAAGGAAATTCATTTGTCCTACGATTTGAGTTTGAAAACGTGCATATCAAGAGATTTTGCTTTTCAAAAAGCGATCGAGACTTATCTTTCTTCAGCTGCCTTCACCCTATTTAGAATGTCCAGTACGACCAAGTATCCATTTCTTGATGGAGATGTCTGCATCCACAATTATTTCAACAGTGAACCAATATCGCGATGCCTAATGTGCGCATTTGGCTGTAGACGTATTTAATTATAATTGTGTTCATAATTCAAGCGCTAAGATATACAAAAAAAAGCAAAGAAATCCAAATAATTACTTAGATTAGATCATGATATTTATAGACAAGCCTTGGCATCTGCTATTTTCATTCCAATACTTATTCGAATGCTGTTTCTAGTAAAATGTCGTTTTGCGGCCATTAAAAAACCAGCAAAGATTTAGTCGACCATTTTTCATGAGACTAATGCGTAAACGCGCGTAAGCTGCAGCAATCTGGAGATGCTTCTGTAAAGGCGTTGTTACTGTTGGAATTCTCACACTTTTCCAAGATGCTCCGTAAAGATTTCTACAAAGTTCCCCTATTGCTGCTTTTTTTTCCTCCATAACAGCAACATTATTCTGCCGCACAAAATACTTCCTATATTTTACTTCATAATTTCATTTTACCAGAAAAATTGCTTTTTTTTTTGTTTAGGAGGATAATCTCCCGAGCCTCGTGGACGACAAGGTGTGAATAAGATTTTCTTTCGATACGAGATCAATTTAAAACGCTTAAAAATTTCCGCGTTCCTCTCTGTTTACTGAGAGTCAAACTGGGTATTCGTTTTACCTACTGTTATTTTGAAATTCTCCTACCAATATTAAAAGACGCTAAAATTTAAGTGACAAAAGACGTTTCAACTTTCCGCTATACATATTCTATCATTTTACCGTGTTTTACGAATTGAATACTTGTAAGATAAACAAAAGTTTCTGTGTTACTCAAACTACTTCATTGCGTCTTTAACCTTAGCACATAACTTGCCCAAGCAACCCCTTTTTCGCAATAAATTCCGTTGTTTCATCTCATTGGTATGCAAATGTCCCAGTACCAAGGAAAAATTTGACCTTCTCATGTTTTGGATAAAAAGTAAAAGCGGGCTTTTTCAACTGTTTTAAGGTAGTTTGCCATCAGCAGGGCCTCGTGTTGCACAACCCAAGAGTCTTATTTTCGAATAATTTACATCACTTTCCGATGTCAAACTGAACTGTGAGTTCGGTAATTGGGTTTGCGCCAATTGTTGTTTTAATGGACAACTGTCTTTGTCGTTGTGCTTGGCCTTTGAAATTTCGAGCTAATAAAATACTTTTCTCTAACAAAAAATCCTTTATATATAGGCAATGAAGTAAGGAAGAAGAATCTACTAT